CTGGGCAGCAGCCCCGCCAGGCCGACTTCCAGCCCCATCGAGCCTGTGCACCTGGGGACCCAGAACAGGCCAGACCCACTGCAGGTCCCTTAACAGGCTCACAGTCTGACGAGCACATCAGTTTCCGGGAAGACCAGCCCGGGAAGACCACCGGGCCGACCGTCTCCTTCGCGGATCAGGACCAGACTCAAGTTCACTTCTACAGCGGAGATCAGCCGCCGTCTTATCTCGGTGCAAGTGTGGATCAGCCCCATCAGCCCTCACAACTCACTGACAAATCTCCCACACCCTCTAGAGACAAACCCTGCCCTCCTCCTGGGTCCCCCGAGGAGCCTGTCAGCACAGCCGGCCTGGCTTATGTGGCAGCGGCGGTGGCAGCGGCTGACACAGGCGCCTGGGAAGCCTGCTGGGACCCGGCGGAGCAGCCCACCTCGATGGATTTTGCCGCCGCCACCCTCCAGCGTCCGCACAGAACCCACCGGCCCCTTCCCCCACCTCCTTCCCAGAGACCAGCAGAGCCGTCACCAGCTGTGGGGCAGGTGCCAGCAACGGCCTGCGCAGGGTTAAATAATTCCCACAAGGTGAGTCAAGGGAAGGAAATGCACTTTGCAAAGGTCTGTCCCTTTTTAGCAGGGGGTGGTCTTGGAGTCAGACACGGTCTCTGTTTTCCAGTCCTCGGGCGGGTTTTCATGAAGCTTTTCCCCTTGGAGGTTGGGATCTGCCTTTTCCTCGTTGCTGGTTTTTCTCAGGAAGGAGCAGTTACACAACGACCGTGGCCTAACCACGTCTGCCCGCTGCTGCCTCCCGCCAGCCTCCGGGTAGTTTCTTCAGAGTGATACCAGAGGTGATAGTGAGTCAGACGGGGCTTCGGGTATCAGGGCTGCCCTGGTTCTCCCTGCCCCGGCACTGACTCATCGTGACCTCGGGCAAGTCATTGAACGTCGCCCGCCGGTTATTCCTGTCTGCCCGATACGGCCGCTTGAGTCTCGGGAGGTGTGTAAGGCTTTTTAGAAGAGTGAGGTTGTTTTCTCAACACGAAGCAGCAGGTTCTGCAGTCCAGCGGGCACCCATTTCGATGAGAGAATATTGTACGCAAAATGCTAAGGTTTCGTCCGAATTTTCTCATATTTTTTTTTTAAAAAATGCCCCAGGTGTATTGGGATCACCTTGAACTATTGTCTAGTCTTCCCTGGAGGACGCTGTGTCTACAGCTGCATCTCAAGGCGGGGTGTTTGCAGCCCTGGCGTCTGCGGCCACCCCAGGGCGTGTCGAAGGCAGAGGGGGCGGTACCTGCTGGAGTTCAGTGCCCCCTGGGGCTTACAGCTCCCCACTTCAAACATCTCTCCAGAGAGAACCCCTCTCTTTGTTCAGCAAAGTGTTTCTGCTGCTGGTGAGCCTGAGCTGGGCAGAGTCAGCATATGTTTTTAAGCATGACTGTTACTTGATTAAACCTCTGTTTGGGTCTGCACGTTAAGACAACGTCACAGGCAACCTCATCTCGCTTTCATACCCATCACCAGCTAGAACAGTCCTCAGGATGGAGGTGGCCGCTCCGCCAGGTGGCCACATGGGCCGTTTCCTGGTTGTGGGGACAGGGTGGCCTGCTGTCCTGGCCAGCACGACCGTGTGGCTGGGGGAGTTTCAAGCTGCTCTCCGCATAGCCTCAGCTTGTGATGGTGCTGACTCCACAGAGGGGAGCACAGGAGAAAACTCACGCTGTCCTCATTTCTCCGTAGGTCCCAGGAGTAGTGCCCACTCCGGAGAGGCCGCCGGAACCCAGGGCCGCAGACGACCCTCCTCCCGGCCTTGT